GTGTGTGTGTGTGTGTATGTGTGCCTCTCTCTCTGTTTCTCTTTCTCTGCCTCTGTTTGTCTCTGTCTGTCTCTGTCTGTCTGTCTCTCTCTCTCACCCACCCATCCGACACACACAATAACACACACACACACATACACACACACACACACACACACACACACACACACACACACACACATACATACACCCCCCACACCCCCACACACAGACACTCACATACACACATATTCACTGTCTTACCTACTCACTCGCTCTCTGTGTCACAATATCTGTCTCTCTTTCTCAGATTCTCTTGCTATCTTTCTACTCCTATAATATTTGTTTTCCCTCAACCCTCTCCCCTCCCCTCCCCAAAACACAGGTACTCCTTTCTTTCTTTCTTCTACTCTCTCCTCCTTCCTTGACAGCATATCCAATATTTATGTATGATCCTTAGTAATTTGGTATGCTGCCGTTTACTAACTTTGACTTGTTTTTCTGTCTTTCCCCATTTTCTAGAAAATTCTCGGCCATGAGCAAAGATGAACATCAGATCCTGTTCATGGCGTTGGAACCTCTGTTTTCCCTCAGTGCCTCTCTGGTTACCAAGGTTAGTATAATAGATAGATAATAGATAGATAGATAATAATAGATAGATAACATTTGTATAGCGCAAATTCCCGCTCAACAGCAAGCTCTATGAGCTTCACAATCTATACTATTACCCCAGCAGACCTCAGAGCACTCTGAAACAACCTCAACTTCTTGGGAAGCATACAGTGCAAGCGGCCATTTATAGGCGCTAAAACACAAACATACTGACAAGATCTTTCTCTGTCTATGGCCGGGTACCCGTTCCTGCCTGGATGAAGTGAGGAAAATTCGGGTAAAATGCCTTTCCCAAGGACACAACGTCGGGCCTACGGCTCGAACCCCCGAACCCGCAAATAGCTTTATCTTCCCAGTTCGTCTATAATTACTTAAAGCAACTGGTATATCATGACCAAAAATAGACGACACCTTTTTATATAATATAGTAAAATACGTCGTGACTATTTTTTGGGTCATACTTGTTTTAGAGGAGAAAAAAAAACTCCTGTTGATCCTTAAGTTTTTAAGAGCTGTTATGATTAATTAATTAAGGCTTAGGTGTCGTGTCGTAGTGCTGTGGGAATCTGAAAGAACGCTCCAGTTTCCTTTTCTTCTGACTCAGGCCATATATTATTATAATGTTTGTTTTGTTTTGTTTTTTAAATTGTAAATAGTGTTCTCCACCTCTCCGCTATACCAGTTTTCTTTCTCTCTCTCTCTCTCTCTCTCTCTCTCTCTCTCTCT